AAAATTTAATTATTTGAGCTCATTAATCAGATGGTATTTGCTTCACGTAATATATTTAATGTATTAATATTTTTAATTAGAAGTATCATCTAACTGTTTGCTAATTAGATAATAGACATAGTTTACAATATAATATACAGTAATTGTGTATTGATAATTTAATGCATTGATACTTTTTTTCTAAACATATGGGCTGATTTGTCTTGTTATTTGACTCAAGGTAAAGGTTTTTCATTTAAGAACCTATTTATAGTATGGTAGTCTAACGTTTACCAACGACTACCATCCAACTGGTGTTAGTAGGCAAATCTTATTATTACTACAACTGCCATTTTAGTTTGACCTCAGGATAGTTCCTATCCATCGACGGAATACTAACTGGCTAGCTATAACCCCTACTCATCCTTTATCCATTCTAGAGGCAAGACAAGCTCGAATTTATATTATGCCACCCTGGCCTGTCTTAGTAATGGAGGACTTTCAGTGTCAAATGTAATGGCAATCATCTAGAAACCCTTCTGTACCAACATTCACACTTCAGAACTGAACTAAGGCTCACTCAAGGCCACTACAGCCCCACGATTCCTTAGCCCCAAGGTACAGTTGTGAATCTCTCAATGGTATAGTAATGACCACTGAGACAGAAAGAACATGAGATAGTACAGATTCGCTTGTTAGGGATTATTCCCAGTAGTGCCCTACCACCCAAGCTACCACCCGGTACCCGCCTAGTGGGGAGTTGAACCCCATACCTCATCTAGTACATCTGTCTGTTCAGGAATATCCTAGTTGGCCTAAACCTATTAAAAGGTAAACTACCACAAAGTTATTGCACTTAGGATTTTACCATCTATAATAACCATCTAGCCATATTGGATCTCAAGCGGTATCATTTGAGTGACCACCTGAACAGGAAATTACCCCCAAGATATACAAGCAGTGACCTTACAGACAGGACTCTGAACATCCCAATGACCTCATAGGGAATGTTAGAAGGACACTATAACCCTTTGTTGAAATGTGCGGCCTAACTGTACACACTAATTCACCATGGTGCAGTCCAACTATCTAATCCCTGTATCTTCACGCTATTGGTGATAGCGTCCGCAGTAAAATTCTTTTTATTTCCGTGATTATGGAAATCGAACCTGCGACCTCACCATACTCAGGCTTAATGAGGGTCTCAGTAACCAACTACTGAGATAGGGGAATCAACCCTATATGGGCTGATTTGTTTATTCTGTATTAAAAAGAGTTATTGATTGATTTTCACAATTTTTGTTACTCAAAATTGGTTTGTAATACCAAAAAATCATCTGATTGATGATCACTTGACTAAATAATAAGTTGAACAAAAATTTACATTTGCGAAACTTAAATTATTAAATGTAAAAGAGCTGTAAAAAAACCCATTTCACTACCATTTCTCATATATATGGAATTTTTAACATATATTATTAAAAAGTAAGTATATTTTAATAAAATATAAAGTAAAATATAGCCTTAGTAGCTATAAATGTTTATAAAAGTATAATAAAAATATCATATAAAAGATGGTATCATAATAAATATTTTCAAACAATAAAAATAATTATTTTATGTCAGAGTTTGTATTACCATCTTTAAATGCAAATATATCAAGATTCACTTATTTGTTTTCTATAATTTTAGGTTTGTTGGAAAGCCCTTGTTCTGGACTTTATAGGCGAAAAAAGAGCTCACTGATTGAATCATTAGATCCGGAGATATTTACGTTTAAAGTTGAGGTATGAACTTTTTAACATGCTTAAATGCAAATGTCTTGGGATCCACTGATCCATTTTTTATAAATTTAGGCTCTTTGGAAAGCCTTTGATCTGGTCTATATGAACGAAAAAAGAGCTTGCCAATTGGATCACTAGATCTGGAGATATTTACGTTTTAAGTTGAGATACAAATTTTTAACATATATAGTAAGTGCTAAAAATTATATTAATTTAAAAGAAATATTTACCAAATTATAGTATAATAACATTAAATAAAAATTTTTTAATACTCATTTCCAATTTACTGTATATTATATAGTATTTTGTATAATAAAAATGTAATAAAATTAATATTTTAATTAAAGGTAGACAAATCAGCCCATATGAATAACTTTATTAGTATATAGAGATTTAACTGTGTTTCAATATTTTAATAAAAAGGTTAAAAGTAAAAATACTAAAAGTAAAAACAAGTAAAGAATCTTCTATAATTTTTTTAAATTAATGTAATTTTTAAAAGAAAATCTTAATATGATAAATGTTAAAAAATCCAAAAATTTTTAAATTTATATATATAGTAAAACCATTTATATTTTTTTTATATTTTTTTTTTATTTTTCTATATTATATTAAAAGATAATGTAATATCATAATATGTTATATAATGCAATTGGATCATAAAGAAATTTACAAGTTTAAAGAATATTGCAAAGTACTTATTTCTATAATTATAAGTAATTTATATAAAATAAAATATATAAATAAAAAATATTATATTCCAATTATTATTATATTTATTCTATAATTACAAACTAATTTACTATCAGCTTATTGGAAACATTTGCTGGTCAAATAGAGATTTGTATCTATAAGTATTTACTGTATATAGTAAATGATAGTAAATTTTTTTTTTTTATTTACTCTTATATATAAGAATCAATATTTTATTATAGTAGTTAGTCTATATATTTTTTATTATAAATTAAACATAAATTTTGCTATTACTTTGGTTTTACATTATTTATAATAATATAATAGATCCAAATTTTTCTAATTTCATATATATATAATTAAAAAATAAAGTCTAGCATATGGGCAAATAAATAAATATATTTTTAATATATTTTTATTTGATATAATTCTATTTACATTTTTACTACTATATTTTTATCTAAAAACTTAAATTTTTAGATATATATATAGTATTTTTTGACTAAAAAATAAATAAAATATATAATGCTATTAGAGAAGAAAGTCTTAATATTAAGTTATTTACAATATTATCTTCATTACTAATATTATCACTATTACTGCTATTATTACTACTACTACTATTGAAAAAACTAACTAATTTCTTATTTTTTTTTTTTTAATAATTTTATCTATAAAAATTCTAAACTAATTAATATGTAGCTTTAAATTCTTTTTTTTATACAAGAAATTAATAAATTTATTTACTTTATATTTTTGAACTATCTCAATTTATATGAGAATATTTTTTTTTCTATTGTAATAGTGAAAGTAGAGGCAAATATATTACTAATGTATTAATATTTATATAGTATTTTTATAAAAATATTTGATTCAGATGAATTTAAAGTAGAATTAAAGATTAAAAAATTTATTTTTGTAATAAAGAAAATATAAATAAAAGTTTTAATAATTAATTAAATTTATTTATTAACATATAATTAAAAATTTAGCAATATTATTAGATAATTAATTTTATTAATTAAAATTAATTATATAATTATAAGAGTGAATTTATTTACCGCACCTTGCATTACAAAGCATCCTTCCTTTTTTGTAAATTATTTATGTTGATCTTTAGTTTATATACTGCACCCCCCTTAAAATAGCAAATGATAAACATAAAAATATATATAAATTTGTAACGCAGAATGCAATGAATACATTATTTCTAATTATAAAATTAATAATAGTTTTTTATTTTATTTTTAAGATTAATAAAAAATTTTTTAAAATATATTTTAAATAAAATCTTTAAAATTACTTGATCTTTATTTTATTTATCAAAATTTTTTAAATTTTTAAAGATTAATAAATTATAATAAAGCAAAAAATCATAAAACATTAATTTTATATTTATATCAAATATTTAAAATTATACAATACAATTTGCTTTTCTTATTACAGTTAAATCTCTATGTACCGATGAGGTTGTTTTAGGGAAAAAGTATTAATACATTGAATTATCAGTATACAATTACTGTATATCATATTGTAAATTATGTTTATTAACAGATTAGCAGACAGTCAGACTTTGATACTGATGCTTCTAATTGGAAACAATATCAATACATTGAATATATTACGAGTAACATAATGTAGAGCAAATACCACCCAATTAATAACCTAAAATAATTAAATTTTGGCAAAATAAACTGCAAAAGAGTTCAAATTAAATCTTTTACTTGGGCCAACTTTATAGTGCTGGCCCGAATTAATACTAGTATAGCTAAAATATTGGTACATCTTAATATATATTATTATAAAAGGATCAAAAAAAGTATCAGTATACGTTACATTGCAAAATTATATACAATATCGATATAACGTGATTTTTTTATTATACGTGAAATGAGACAATGAAAATTTATCAGTACAGGAAATTATCAGTAGTACACCAGAGATCGGTACATAGAGGTTTGACTGTATATATCTATTATAAAAAGTAATAAAATAAACTATAATAAAAATGAGTTAGAATCTGAATTATCTTTTAAAAAAATATCTTTAGCTTCTAAGTTTCAAAAAATAATTTATCAAATATACCATATATTACAAGCAACATTGCCTGGTTGATCATCACCTTTACCAGCATTAGGATAGCATTTTGGGTGGAGTTACATTCAGTCTGTCATTCATATTCTTAATTCTGCCTTAAATTCCATTCTAATACTGGTAAAGGTGATGATCGCCTAGGTGATATTAAAAAAAGATTTTTTATTATATTTTATGCTTAAAATTTTTTTGATAAAATATTTTTTAATATGATAGTGTGTTCAACAAAAAATAGTAACCTAAACCAACTATAGAAATCTCTCGCGTGCTTGTTTTTTATAAATAGCATAATTATAACACGTGACTTATAAAATTCTATAAACGATCTCTTGATACTTGGCATTCCCTAAAAAGGAAAAGGGGTTCCGTAGTATCATATTATTCCGATTCTGTACAACTAGACATGAAATATAAAAAAAAGCGAGATTTAACTTTTTTCTCATAAAAAAAATGAGTTACCCAGGACAAAAGTATAATGAACAGTACAGCAATGCTGGACATTCTGGTTTAACTTCTCAACCACCACCTGCTCCATATTATCAACAACAGAATTATCCACCTCATTATTCACCACCACAAGATGGTTACAGACCACCTGGACATAGTGGTTACGGTGTATATGTTCCTCCTCCAGGTCCTCCCCCTTCCCAAGGAAGCTATGGTTTTCCTCCAGGTCCTCCCCCTTCCCAAGGGAGTTATCCTCCCCCCTCAGGTCCTCCCCCTTCCCAAGGGAGTTATCCTCCCCCCTCAGGTCCTCCCCCTTCCCAAGGGAGTTATCCTCCCCCCTCAGGTCCTCCCCCTTCCCAAGGGAATTATCCTCCTCCCCCAGGTCCACCACCTTCACGAGATGGTTATGCTCCACCTCCGTATCCTCCGCCACAAAGTAGTTATGCTTCATACCCCTCAACACAAGCCCATTATCCTTCTCCTACCAATCCACCACAGAAAGTTGAAAAAACTTTTACGCATACAGAAGTTAAATATGAATTAAGTTATGAAAGACCTCCATTACCACCAAGAAATCAACAATATCAACCTCTCCCAGGAACTCCTCCTCAACTTCCTATTAGAGGATATGCACCACCACCGGTTACGGGTCGCAGGAGAGCTTTATTAATTGGAATTAATTATTTTGGTACACCATTTGAATTAAAAGGATGTATAAACGATGTTGCTAATGTGAAGAGTTTCTTAATTGAATTATATAATTTTAGAGAAGCTGATATGGTCATTTTAACAGATGATCAAAGTGATCCAAAAAAAATTCCTAATAGAGAAAATATTTTGAGCGCAATGAGATGGTTAGTTCATGATGCACGACCAAATGATTCATTCTTTTTCCATTTCAGTGGTCATGGAGGTCAAGCACAAGATCTTGATGGAGATGAAGACGATGGTTACGATGAGACTATTATGCCATCAGATTTTCAGAAGAATGGGCAAATCATTGATGATATAATGCATGATATAATGGTGAAACCGCTTCCACGTGGTGTAAGATTAACGGCTATATTTGATTCTTGCCATTCTGGCACAGCACTTGATTTACCTTTTATATATTCAACACAAGGAAAAGTGAAAGAAGCAAATCTTTTATCAGAAGGTAGTAATGCTATTAAGAATGCTTGTATGTCATATTTAATAGGTGATATTGGTGTAATAAAGACAAGTTTGATTTTATTTGGTAAAAAGGCAACATCAGGAAAAAGTATTTCAGAAAAAAATAAACGAAATAAATCAAGTCTTGCTGATGTAATTTCGTTGAGTGGATGCAAAGATGGTCAGACTTCTGCAGATGCAAAAAATGAAATGGGGCAAGACACTGGAGCTATGTCCTACGCATTAATCAAAACGTGAGTGAAAGAGGATTTTTGATTTTTTTTTCATATTAATGATTATTTCTAACCTTTATATATTTGTTATGTACACAGATTAAGAGATTATAGGAATAAGAATGTTGATATTTCATATCAACAAATGCTTAATTCTGTTAGAGTTATCCTTTCAAATAAATACTCTCAGAAACCACAATTAAGCGCGTAAGTATTCTATTGTCATAATTTCACGACTATTTTGTTAAAAGAAAATAAAGAAAATGTGACTAATTTTCCTTTTCTTTACAGATCACATGAAATGGAGATGAATTCATTATTTATTATTTAATAGATATCTTTTTTTTTAAAAAAAAATAATAATGTTCGAGTATATTTAATAATTTCGTTAGATTATTTATTGTACAATCTGAGTTCTTCGAAAAAAAAGAAAATAGAAAAAATTATAAGGCTGTAATATTTTATATATTAATAAATAATTATTTAAAGAAAAATAAATATATACAAAAATAAATAAATAGATAAATAGAATAAATAATTAGATAAAGAATTAACAACTAATAATTCAAATAGTCATTTCTTTAGCAACGTTATTGTCATTATTTTCATTAGATGAATCAATTAACTTGGATATTTTAGTATCACCCCCACTTTTTAGTGCAACTTTACTGTTTCTTAACCTTTCAATACCTTTACCAATGCTTTCAATATGAACTTCAACTGGCATTTCAATTATACTTGGCCTAGAAACTTGTTCACGTAATTCTTCCATATCCAATTGAAAAGAAGTTAGACTGTATAAAGTAGTTTGTATTTGTGATACTGCCGTACGGCGATGTTTATCTAAATTCTTTAATAATTCTAAATTTTCTTCGAATAATTGTTTTCTTACTCTATTGCCCCCAAAAATTGTCCATAGTTCGGCCAACAATTTATTAAGTTCTTTGTTCTGATATGCTGACTCATGTGTTGCTAAATCATGTATTGCAATCAACATTTCATCTAAATCTGCTAAGCTAATATTCAATTTTTTTTTTTTTAGAAAAAAGAAAATCAATAAAAAAGCATACATATAAAAAACCAATATAATCTTATAACGCTTTTTTTTTACCTTCCAAGAGCATCTTGACCAACTAAAATCATCCTTTTTAAATCATTTTCAATAAGAGACATCATTTGATTATAAGCTCCGGCCAATTCTTTTGCACTAATTTTTTTATCTCTAACATCTTCTAATGCTTTTAAAGCAAATATATTATAAGTAATTAAATTATCTAAAGAACTTCTTGTTCTAGCTTGAAGTATTTGTAAATCTCTACCGACGCTTCTTGCTTTATCAACAAATAATGTTAATCTATTAGCTAATTCGGACGCCGTAACTAATGATGAATATTTAATTAAAGTTCTTAAATCTGCTGTAGCCAATTCAGCTTTTTTAATATCTAGTGCTAACGATGATGATGGACCATTATATGATAATTGTTGATCCATTATCTGTTCGTAAGTTTCTACTTGCCTATCAACTAATCTTGAAAAATCCGGTATTGGAGCATGACATAATGGTATATGTGACGATAATGGAAATTTGCATATTATCATGGAAAGTTCTTGTTGAAAGTTATTTGATAAGAATGTAAAAGAATACCATGCAAAATAAAGTGCTATTATTATTGAAAATATTGGTTTTAATATATTAAGTGCTCCAACAAAAACATCTATATAAAAAAAAGACGGAATTAGTTTAAATCGTATAATTTTAAAAAGTTTGCAAAAAATAAAAAA